TTATCTCTCTTATCGTAATCCCCGCATTGTTGAATCTGCGGATGCTCCAAAATTTCATACATAGGGGATGCGGTATAAGGTGGAAAAAAAAATTCTCGAAACGACGCATTAATCTGATCGCTGGAAGGAGATGAAGTAAATTGGAAGCTTGAAAAGTGTCAAATTGACACGACAGCCAAAGCGACATTAAGCGGAGATACGACGGCAGAAGAGTGATATCGATTTTCGATCGCCGCCTGTGCAATTATTGGATTTCATCGAAATTTAATTCTCAAATTGGCCTTCCATTAGAAAAACGTCAATATTGCAATTGAGATTATATCCATGAAATATTTAACGTTCGTAAAATTCAATAATTAATTCGAAAGAATTAATCGAAATATCGATATTAACGCATCATCCTGTTACAAAATTCAAAGGACGTGTCAATATTTGAATCAAATCTTTCCGAAATTGAAATCGTTTCGAAAAATGATTTTAATTCGCCCGACACTCAATATATATAGAAAGGACATCGATTCTCATTTTATCACGATAATTTTTTTAACGACTCGATCAAAAGAAAAATTAAATAGAAAGTAATTAATGTTTCAAATATTTACTTCATTATTCTTTTAATATTCTTTTGATTAAAAAATTAATCGTAAAAAAATAAAATTTCAAAATTTTTTTACATTAACTTTCCATCTAAGTCATTATTAAAAAGTCTGCCTCAGAAAAACTTTAAAAAATTACGCTCGATGTAACTAAAGCGTAATAAAAGTATAAATTAAATTATGAAATTATATAATTATAAAAATAATAATTATATAATAATTATATAAATATATAATTATATAATTCTACGATTATAAAAATAATATACTCTTATTTCGTCCTGTTTCTTCTTCACATCGACGCATAATTTCTTTTTATAAAATATGACACATGAAAAGGCAAAGTGGTTTAATGAAATGTCGCGTAGAAAATTTATAGCATTCTGAGGAGATCGACGGTTAAAGAAACAAAGTTGCAAAGTGAAACAGGAGAGGACAAACGAGGCGCGGAAGCGACGAGTAAATTGGACACGAAAAGCGCGTCGGACTTGTTGTAATTAGCTTATCGTTGATAACACAACGGAACTTTCTACGGGTAGGTCCCGTCTTAATAATACAGCGGGTTAAGCAAGATCGGGGAGGAAGGAGAGGGTGCGACGTTTTCTCACCCCCTCTGTGTCAAACGACGAAACTCAGCCGGCGTGCCTCGCATAACTTTATGAAAGCTCATCTGAGATACACGAAGGATTCGAAGCGAAAACGGATTCTCGCGAAAAGCCCGCGATTGTCTCCTCCTCCAGCGAGATTATTCTACAAAAATATCTGCACGACGCGATCAAAGGTAAGCAATTTATAAAAACGGAAGCAAATCAAATCAAAAATTCAAATCAGCTTAAATCATGTAAAAAAAATAGATCAATTAAATTGACAAATTAATTTTTATATTTTAATAAAGCTTTTATTTTTATAATATTAATTTTTATCGTCGAAATTACGTTTAATTAAACACGAATTTTTAGTGATAAAACATTTTGAATGATTTAAATCATTGGCTCTTGAAAAATTTTTCATATGAATACCGAGAAAATATTGCCAGCCCGACTCTTAATTTACATAACGCAATAAAAATAATAATGTAAAAAAGTAAATTATATATACGAGAGAATAAATTTTGATTAATTAAAATTTGATGTTAAATAACGCGAAAATCTCTAGCGAAATCAAAACCTAATTGTTCTAAATTAATCGGTATGACTTTTCTCGCGTTCGATTGACAGTTTTGATTTTACGTAATTGAAAATGAAGAGCTTGCCCCGCGAATTAAACACCTCACGAGGAAAAAATTCGATGACGGATGTTGTCCATTGATTTGTCGTTGATGAGAAGATGTTTATTTTCGTTTAAAAAAATGCAAAAAAAAGAAACTTAATTATAAATACATCCCCCAACCACACTGTGGCGAAAATGACCTGCGCCGATTAATTTATTCCATGATTTTATAAAACTGAGAATCTCGAGTTCTTGAGTTCTCAGATTCTCCTATAATTTTGATGCTTCATAATTCTTTATAGTCTTTCACATCTTTCGAAAATTTCCTGTTTCGCAAATAAAGATCAATCTCTCTTTCAGCGTTAGCATATGATTGCAATTAATAATACGCAACTGTATTAATATATAATAAACAGGACATATCGCATAATTTCTAATTTTTATACCGCATTATACATATTTAATTATATTTTCCATTACTATTCAATTATTCGACCATAATTCGATCATTTAATTAAATTATTGGATTGCAGTCATTATTCAATTATTGTTAGATTATTATCGATAGCATGTATAATTGTCTTTTCGAGTTTTTCACGGTGAGCCAGAGCATATATCTCGGGGCTGTTGCATCGTAATTACACGACATATACGTACGCGCGCGCACAATGCATCGCATGTGCATTGCTCGTAATATTGTGCACCGTAAATGTGAATTTTACACATAATGACGTAATGTTTGGAGAACGGCGTATGAATTATAAGCAGATCCTTTCTTCGGTAATAAACGATGCATATACGCGCGCGCGAATCTCCGGGGGACGGGTGACGGTTTTGCATTAATAAAGCAGCGAAATATTAGAGATCGCCGGTACAAACACGCGCGCGCGAGCGCTGGATAATCCGGTGGGGTGCATGAATATGCAAGTTTCGGGGGGGGTTGCCCTGGCGTAGACGGTAATTTTGTTCGACACGCAGAGTTGCGTTAATTCCACCTACTCCTTCGTGCATTAACCGCCCGTCGTTTCGTTGCGGGATCCGCCGAGTGCTCTTCCCTCGGTTCCTCTTCCCCCCCAATCCCTTTCCCGCCCCCTCCCCCCCCCCGCCCGCCTCGTCTCTCCCAGAGGCACGATCCTACGAATGGGACATCCCACGCGAAATTTGCACGACACGACGAATGAAATTTAAGTGACAAAGAGAGAGCGCATTGTTTCCTTAAAAATACACTTTGATCATCAAAAGCCGAATCTTTCTCTTTTCCTCCCCTCCCCCCTTGCCCCCTGGCGCATTTAAAAACTAATCTCCCGTTGGAGTATACTTTAAGGATGAATTAAGACCTAATCTTAATTGAATCTTAGCTTGACTTCAAGAATAGGTAGAATTTTTATATTGAAATATTAGAGATAATTGAAGCAATTTTCTTCGAAATAAATCTTCGTTTTTGTTTTTTCCCAAATTTTCTCGATATCTTTCCTGATGAAAAATCGTGCGTTTAGCTTCGAGGATAAATAAAAATTTCTTATTAAAGTTAAACTCTAATAAGAAAAATCGCATCGCAAGAAGAACAGCTGCGAAGTAAATTGCAAAGCGGGTGTTGTATTTATTACTCATTAATTACTCGCGAGTAAAGTGAGATCAACGGTTGACCTTTGGCGAGAGTTTTACAACCGGAAGTTGGACGATAGATTAAAGTTTTACGCGCAGTTATATATTCATCAGATGTAAAACGTTTATTAACGAAGAGTGGGCGTATCAATTATGGCCTTTGGCAGCTTGCAAAAATAAATAATTGAAAAAAAATGCATTGCAAACGCAGCGCACTCGCGTTTTGAGACTCGGAAATTAATTATTAAACGAAGTTTAAAGGTCGGGGAAGAAAGAGAGAGAGAGAGGAGGAGGGCAGGATAAAATCGAGACGATTAACATCGATTTCGAAATAATAGCCTTCTATTTGCTACAATATTATACCACTTCCGCGTATCGTCGCTCTAAAGGGGGAGGAACGGAAAATTTAATATCGAATAGCCCCGAATTGACTCGAATGCAATCTAGCGAAGATTAAAGGAAAATTGCCACGCCCTTTACAAAGTTTACATAACAAACTACGCATGCAAATTGCTATCGTTATCGTGCATGCCGGCGAACCGACATATCGATGTCACCTCGATATTGCGTCATCTTAAGAAACCAAGAGACGTAATGACAGTTTCGATAGATATGATCAATAATAATATAATTCAATTTTCGCGCACATATAAGATTGTAATAATTTTAAATGATTTTAAATAATAATAAATTAAGTATATAAGCATAGAATTTAATATAGAATTTAATATAGAATTTAATATAATATTAATTTAAAATTTTATTATTAATTTATTATTGATTTAATATAAAAAAAATATTTGCGCGCGAAATAAATGAGAAATAATTTCCAAAATGTATATATCTCTAAAGAGGGATTTATTAAGAATCTCAAATTGAGATTTCTTCAATTACTTACTTGATATATGGACCAAGAAAATTTGCAACCCCTCTACATTAATCAGTTTTATCGAAAAATTAATTTTCGCTACCATTTGCGTCTAATTTTTATTTGTCGCAAAATTCAAATTTATGTTTTGATGGAGCCGTTAATTTAATATCAAAATTTTATTATTAATTTATTAATTTCATATCAAAAATAAATATTTGCGCGCGAAATAAATGAGAAATAATTTCCAAAATGTATATATCTCTAAAGAGGGATTTATTAAGAATCTCAAATTGTGAGATTTCTTCTTACTTGATATACGGACCAAGAAAAATTTGCATCCCCTCCACATTAATCAGTTTTATCGAAAAATTAATTTTCGCTACCATTCACGTCTGATTCTTATTAAATTTGTGTTTTGATAGAGCCATTTAATCTCTTTATATCCCTGACATACAGACAGGTTTCACAAAATATGTAAATATTTCTCTCGAGAGCTTGATTAATCTCGCTGTCGTTATTTCCACAACGTCTCGGTATGAAAATCTGTTTGATGCGGACGACATTCCGCGAATAAAACATCGCGCAAGAACGACGAATGTCAAGATAATTGAAATTTATGTCTCGGCGAGCCAAGAACGCCGCTAATTGAGTCGGGATTTAATTAGTCGCGTTTCACGCGAGTAAGAGACTCACTCCCCGTCGTTTTGCTGCTTTCGCAGGATACTTTCCGCTACCGTCGGTCTATTGCCTCGCCTGGATCTGCCTCGACGTTCTCTTCTGCACCGCGAGCATAATGCACTTGTGCACCATAAGCGTCGACCGTTACCTGAGTCTACGGTATCCGATGAAGTTTGGACGCAACAAGACCAAGAAGCGGGTCACCCTGAAGATCACCTTCGTGTGGATCCTCAGCATCGCGATCAGTCTGCCCTTGAGCCTCATGTATTCCAAGGTGAGCTCAGTCTGTCGCATCACATTCTCGATTTTTCTCTTGTTATTTTCCCATCTTATTTAAAAATATATACGAGATAAAATGTAGTCTGATTAATAACTGTCTTCTTCTACTTGCTTAATATATTTATGGTCTTTGTTTTAAATTTTTTATTAAATTTATTATTAAATTTATTAAGTTATTAAATTTTTTGTAATACATTTATATTTACGAGCTTTTTATTTTTTCAAACTTTTTTGATATATTTGTAATTTTAAAAATCTATTTTAAAAAAATATATGCACATTTAGTTTTTAATTATTTTCTAAGATATTTTTAATTTTTATATTATATGAATATTAATTATAGTTAATTATTAAGCGAATAAAAGAAGACAGTTGTTGTCAGATTATATTACTAGCTCACTTTTATTTCTTATATAGAGTGTTTTAAAATTTCCGGATGTTCTTTTAATAGCTAGATTAGATTTTCTGGTCAATTTAAAGTCAATTTTCTTCTTAGCAAAAATATCAAGTAGAGTCATCACTTTTCCTTATCACATATCTTTGATTAAAATTTTATTATAAATAAACTACACCTGAAATAAATTACAGAATATAATTACGTCATAGCTTTAATTCTGCAAAAGCCTTCTTTTTCAATCACTTCTCTATTTATGGATGCCTCGATATTTTCGATACGACCAAGGAAATTGGTCAAACAATCTATTATTAAAAGAACAAAAGATGACTTTCAGACATTCTATATATATTAATAATTAAAAATAAACCCTACACATGTTCTGTTTGCTTTCTTACATCTTTTCTTGTTCCGCTCGCTCTTGAAAAATTAAACACCTCTCATTTCTAGCGACCCCGAAATGTAATCGCAATAATTTTTTTTCGCTCGGGGCGAGAATCTTTTTCAATTTTCCGTAACGATCGAAAAATTGCGGGATTTCGCGGCAGCAAAATCCCCGTTTCAGAAACGACGGACGTGAAATCACGGCGACCGAAAGTTTATCGCCGCTTGCGCGGGAAACGTCGGCCATCGATCATTCGATACGCGACATAAGGACTGAGCGGATTTTTAATACGGAAACTTGTGCATCGACGCGCGTTTTTCGCTCGACGATCTTCCGTGAGGAACGAAGTGTATTTTTCGCGTCCCTCTCATAAATTTCCCGATCACTTGTTTCGCAATCGCCCCGAAAACTTGCTCGATCGCTGAAACTTCGCTGCCAAATGCAGCGAATGCATTTCGCGCTTTTTTCACTTTTATGCATTTTTAGGTGGTTCGAAAAGTCCGGAAGGGACCAACGAAAGAGTGTGTAAGCCTAAAAGGAGAACTACGTTGAAAGATAAAAAAGGTTTATTCCAGAAAATTAAGTAGTTTCATGTTCGCGCGGACTTTTCAAACCACCCTCGTAATTCATGTTTTGTCCCGAGTAATTATTCCACAGCTTGATTTACTCTTGTTCCGGTATAAAAAGAAGACTTTTCTTTCGCTCGCGCACATGTGTACTCTCCGTTCATTTTCATTCCAAAGGGCGCGACAGCAACCCTCCCTCTGTCCTCTCTGCCCCTGTAAAAGTACGACGCGCTAGAAAACCAACTAATTACGCGACAATGAAGTAATTATATTCGTCGACTTTAATTTCCGCGAAACGAAAGCGTGACGCGACGGATTCGGTGGAAAATGCCATGGCATTATGGTGCTCCCTCGAGAACCTGACTAGTGCACGTCTAACAGGTTATTTTCTTACCCCGAGCGTGTTCATCGTCGTAGAAGCTGTTTCGGCTTGCAAACTGCTCTTGCAAATGTGCAAACTACTTTCGTTTCTCGCAGCGCGCGCGATAGAGAAAGAGAGAGAGAGAGAGAGAGGGTGAGGAAGCAAAAGAGGGAGAGAGAGAGGATCGAGCATCGCCGCAGAACGCCGCATCGACGAGTTTGTCGGACGAGTTTCAGCAACTTTACAGCACCATTTACCAGCGCGTTGCCTTACTTGGGTATTGATCCAAATTTCGCGGCCGACGTGCACTCATTCAAAATTCCATCCAACATCCGGAGTGAAATTTGTCGCCCGACGCGACAAAAATTGTATTCCGGTTATACACTCCCGTATTCTCCGCACTTCGCCTTTGCGATTGTAACATCGATTACTTTGAGCACTTTAATCCGAATTTCACACCTACGCGATACATGGAGAGAGAGATAATATATAGATAAATCTGCGAATTTCTCTCAAACTTCTGGCGTCCGAATGCTCTTTTATTCCTGTACTATCTGCGATATTTTCAACAATGGCCGGATTTTTTAAAATTGAATATCAAAAAAATGTACGTACAAACTTTTCATGAAATTAAAATAACTTTATTGAGAGTTTTAATGTCGCAAATTTTTGCGAGTCCGCTGATTTTCAACGTCAACGGTTTAATTTTCTTTAAATAAAAATATTTTTAATAAAATGCAAGTTAATTTTTATATTTATTTTAATATCAAAATATCAAAATATCAAATATCAAAATTTTAATACACGTGAAGTTGACAGAACTTTTTAGTTTCAAAATCTCTAAAATTTTAAAATTTTTTAATAATTCGAGAATTGTTCACCTTTAAATAATTTTCACTTTTATAATCTGAATGTTTCATTTAAATTTAAAAATTCTCAAACGTCATGTGATTAATAAAAACTTTTCATTCTTCAAATTTTTTTATCTGTGAATTTTCAAACTTGTAGAGACCAAATGCTCTTTCATTCCTATTACCTGGATATTTTTAGCAGTGCGCGAATTTTTTAAAATTAAATATCAAAAAAAATTTGTACAAACTTTTCATGAAATTGAAGTAACTTTTTTATCGAGAGTTTTAACGTCGCAAATTTTTGTCTGCTGATTTTCGACGTGAATGGCTTAATTCTTTAAATGAAAATACTTTTAACAAAATGCAACAAATTTCCATATTTATTTTAATATAATCGTATCATAATATATATCAAAATTTTAATACTCGTAAATTTGATAAAACTTTTTAATTTCAAAATCTCTACAATTTTTAAATTTTTTAATAAACTCGATAATTTTTAGCTTCTAAATAATTTCCATTTTTAGAATTTGAATGTTTTGTTTAAATTAAAAATTCTCAAAATTGATTAATAAGGATTTTTCATTCTTCAAATTTTTTCTTAACATCTCGAATGTTTAAATTTTCAAAATCTTAAAATAACTAAAGTTCTCCTTGCAATTTTATTCGATTGTAAAAAATGAGTTGTCGAGTCTTTTACTTCTTTTCTATCTTGAATTTCAATAGAAAAATTAAATTAAAAATTCTAATTTTTTAATCTTTCAGTTTTATCTTTCTCTTTTTTTTTTGGAATTTTAAATTTTCAGATGTCAAATGCTTGCATTTTCGAGATTTGAAAATTTTCAAGAATACGAGAATCCTCGAACTTCTATTTTAACCGCTCGGAATAGATAACGATTCCTCATTCTAAAATCTTCGGCATCTGAAAATCTCAAAGTTCTCAGAGAAAACTGACATACAAAAGTGTTTAAATCCCAGAACTTTTTCATCCCCCGATTTCGTGGCGCATGAATCCCTGGGAATTCTCGGTTCCTCGATTTCCTGCGACTTAAATCCCAACGTGGAAAATTAAAGAGCGCGGTTGACGTCTTCGCCGAGCTTCCCTCGATCCCCTAGGACGTCACGTCACGTATTATCGACGTGACGTCGAGCGGAATTCACACGTGCGACGGATGTACACGTGGGCCATAAGCAACGAGAGAATGTCCATTTCTCCCTCCTTCAACCCCCTTCCTCGTCCCCCTCTCACCCTACATATACTCACCGGACGTTATAACCCACGCTCGATCATCACGATCGCCAACAGCGGAAGCGGAACACGAGCTGACCATTACACACGACGGAGACTAAAAGCGGAAGCGTATTTCAAGGAAGATTCATGTCTATGCGGGGGTGACTCGCGAACCCCGTCAAAGTTTAACGACGAACGCGATGAATTATGGAGTGTGTTGTCTAGCGGAAACTATACATTGACTTTTGAGATAAAGCGCTCAAATGAACGTGAGAATGACTAGGATTGTTTCCAAGAGTGTATTATAAATTATTAATAAACGATTTGTAGGAGAGTTTCTCACAAAAGTCTCGACAATGCTTCCCTCCTCGTTTACTCAAGAGACCATATCGTGAAATTGCGAGAAAGCAAGTTTCCTGAAAGAATTTTTTAATGAAAATTAATAAAATATATTCTTAAACGTTTTAAAAATAAGATATATTTTTAAACGTTCTTTAAGAAATTAAAACGAGGTTTCTGTCAAGAGTAAACACACAATACCGTTCCATAGATATTTCTACTTATCTACATATCTATATATTATTTATCTATCTACCTACTTATCTATATATCGTTCATTTTACTCGATTCTTCTAAAATTATAATTAGAAGAATGTAAAAGGAGAATAATGACACATATATTGTTTTCCATGGGATAATTTCATTAGACTTTACAACATATTTGCGATATTAATTCCTAAAAGGTGGCAAATATAAAAAAAAGTATGGCTTAACACTAACCAAAATTTAAATAGAAATATAAAATTCCTCACAAAGAGAGATTACAATTATTTTAATAAAAATCTAATTTAATTATAACATTAATTATAGATTCTAATTTATTAATTAGAAAATAACAAAATTCGTGAAAAAGTCGAGCATCAATTTATTTACAATCGTTGCGCTCAGTATAAAATAATTGTAAGCAATTATTTATTACATTCTTCTCTCGTTTTCTCGTTTAATTGCCTCTGAATGAAGATTAATCTATCATAAATAGATTAGAAAGAAGCTCTATCCATATAATTCGAAACGTAAGAAACTAAATTCGCGAGCGATCGATTAATTTGTCTCCTTTATATGTTGCTAATTAAAGGTTGCAAGGTAAACACTGATAACACGAGTAGATCTGACGCAACATCTTTTATTGGAGCTCGCAGAGTATTTC